TAAACCGCGGGGCCTGTCCTGGGGTAGGAAGCTTGAAATTCCAGTCCAAATTTTACATCTATTTCCCATCTCTAGTTTAAGACATGAGTATATGAGGATAATTGGGAACGATGGCCCCTATCCTGCAACTAGGGTGACCAGATGTCCCATTTTTAAAGGGACAGTCCCGTTTTTGGGGACTTTTTCTTATATAGGTGCCCCCCCCCCCCCGGTCCCATTTTTTCACAGTTGCTGTCTGGTTACCCTACCTGCAACTAGGTCTGTCTAGGTGAACCCTGGTGCCTGTATGAAGACCTCTTCTAGTGAGACTCTGTGGGCATAAAGATCCAACCACACAGATCTGATTAGAGGAACGGGTCTTACATATGTAAAATTAGGGACTTAAATGAGCAGAATGAAGAACTAGTTGGGAGTTTTACAAATACATCCTGGACAAAAGAAATGTCAAAGGCGGTGCAGGGCTTCTGGTAAAGAGGAGATCATGCAAATAACAGAGGAGGACTTGAAGAAGGCTAAAATGCTCAATAGATATATTGCTGTCTTTGTTACAGAAGATGAAGAAAATTGGAGGCTCGGGAAGATGTATGATAGTTGGAATCTAGAAATATCAGGAATCAGAATTAAGAAGGGTCAGGACAAAATACTTAGTTTCTGTCAAAACTGACAGGCCCCACTTGTGAATTTGCTTCACAAGGGCAGCCAGATCACTCCTTTTAAACACAGTAGTTTTAAAGTGTCAAGTTAAGACACAATTGAAACCAGATCCACTCAGGAACCTTTCCAGTTTGCTTCAGACAGGGCTCGGTGAATAGCTTGTTGAAGTTGTCCCATATAGGACTCCTGCTACTGTTCAGAATATTATTAATCTCTTAATATGGCCTAAATTTGTGTTTGTTCTTTGAATTAGTCACCCAGCTCTTTTGAAGGCATGGAAATGTGATGCCCTTTGAAATCTCTGCAGGAACTTCCTGTCCGGTGCTGTGGTTGGTTTCAGAATCACAGGGCAGCTTTTGCTTTTTTTTTTAAATCTGTATATTTGTACCAGCCACATGCATTTCCTGGAAAGAATGCTCCCAGGCTCCTGATATGTGGTTCCTCCTGTAGATTGACCCTGTTCTTTCCTAACACATGACCTGAGCAAAATCTGTTTTCAAAGGCATTTATTTTCTTTTAAAACGTGCATCCTTCAATGACAGTAGCTGCTTTTTAGCGCCATCTGCTGGAATTGTCTCTAATCTCACTAGATACTCATATCTTCACTGCTGTCTGAAACCAGGTCTAACAGTATACCAGATTAAAGGGAGTAGCATGGTGGGTGTTCCCAGTTTGGAGAAATTTCTGGTAGGAGCAGTTACTGTGTTGGGTCACTTAGCTATGCTAAGTATTGTCTGATGAATACAAGGCTCAAAATACAATTTTTACAGGAAGTTTAAGAAATTTTCTCACTCCGCTTCAATTTTCTCCATGAAATTAATTTCCAGGTTCTTCATGTATGTATGGACTACATCAATACAGGAACTTGCGAGATCCCAACCTACTAGGCTTTGCCTCAAGACCCCAGAGAAGGTTGTAACATCCCCCTTTCTGAATTAGGTTTTTCCCTTCTTTCCTAACTAGCCACTGTTGGTGTGTCACAGCTAAGGCAGAAAAAAATATGAACATCTAATGTGACCTTCTGAACTGAGACTGTAGTGTATTTCAGTGAAGAAACAATAAACAATGATATGCAAAATCACAAGAGAGGATCTGCTGTGCAAAACCACTTTAAAACTGCTCATGTCTTCGTAGGCGTTTAACCATAATTACACGATTACGCGCTGCTAATTTTCTTTGTCATAAGCACAAGTTTTGTACATGGGAGTATTGTATAATGTTCGTTTCAGCAACAGGACCTGGAAAGAGGCATGAGTAGAGCTGGGATATCTTCGGTGGGTTGTTGAGCACAAGGTCATGTGTTGCAAAGGGCTGCTCTGCGAACCTGCGACCATCATCATGTGTTCGACTCAATCATTAAGTGTCCATCCAACTACAGGAGATGGAATTTGTGGTCAAATATCTTTTGCTACCCCATATTGTAGGGATCTGTGGGACTAGAACATGGGCTTGTAGTACCTGGGACAGCTGATGGTTCCACATCGCCACTAGGAAGTCATGCAAAGCTAAATCCAAAGATCACTAGGAGACTGGCACCATAGGAAGTACCACCCAAAAGATCCAGAGTGCCAGCACCCAGCAGCCTTGTAATTAGACCCTCGTCAATATTTAACCCTGGAGGGTGGACGTAAGGAGGTGTTGTGTGTCCAAGGCCAGCAGTACTAGTGGCAAGAGTCCAGGGTTCCCTTTCCTAGCAGTTACAGGATAGAGCCTACCCTTGCCCATAGGGCATAATAGATCACAGAGTTGGAGATGGCTTGTTTTTATTTTCATGATTGCTTTCCCTACCAAATGGAGAAGGTGACTTGAGGCCATTGTACCTCAGTGGTGGGTAGGTGTATGCTACCTAGTGAGGTATGGTGACTTAATGGTGCTGTGATTTGAGATCAGCATTTTCCAAACCTACTCACACATAAAGAGCAGAGATTCAAGGATGGAGGAATCTGTTAGTTACTATTGCTGCTGTCGGAGAATAAAAATGACAGGCAGAATTTCCTTTACAAAGCAGAATAAAATAGATATTGACTGGTTTTCCTTTTTATAGTGGCAAGCAGTTATCTTTTGGGCTGAAAATTATTCAGTGAATAATCATGATCAAAGACCTGTTGTGGCTCACTTTTTCTATCCATATGGGAAATAGCGGTGTGTGTGTGTTAAACTATAGACTCAAATGCTAATCAATATTTCTGTAACACAAACGTTGTTCTGATTAGAATGCTCACTGCCTGGGCACTTCTGTGTAGCCTGCTCTCTTTGAAACCCTGCCTTTTTTCTGACTTCACTTCCTGAATCTGCTGACAACGCTCACTGCCAAGCAAAATACATGTCCACAATGCTGTTGTTTGAAAAATATTCCCTTGCGAGTACAGCTGGGGCAACAAAAAGTTTCTCTCTAAACCTCAGAGAACTGACTATCTCTTATATGAGCAAGAAATAGTATGCATTAGACAATATGTAATCTCAACATTTAAGCAAATATTGAATTGCTGCATTTTTCCTTCAAGTCTTCCCTTATACTTGTGCCTAGGGATCACTGAGAGACCTAAAAAGCGTTAGTAGATTAAAATTCAGCAGAAGTGAATCAATGTAGTGACAGACTGGCAGTATTAGAGACTCTTCTCAAAACGGACACTCCCTCTGCATACCCTGGAAGCTTGCCCTACCTGTAGTGGCCTGGTGTCTCAAAACTGACCTCAAGACACCAGCGGGAAACTGTAATACACTGTCCATCCCCTATTCTTCCCTTGGTCCCCTGTGAGACTGCCTACTAGGACGGCAGGTAGGCCCAGGATTTATGGAAATCAGTGGATATCAATGGAAACTAGGAGTCTAAATACCTTTGAGGATCTTGGCCTCTTGTGCCAATTGTGATAATGGATTTTGTGATGTGCACACCTGTGTGTTGCAAACTGGACTGAGACAAGCAACTCATTTCACAGGAGCTAGTGAACAACTATCCAACCCTGGATATATTCCTGGTTTTGCTACTACTAATCAAGCTTTTTCCTGTTATCAAATATAATTTATGAGAGAGAAAACACACCATAACTGTAATGTTAAGTGTGTGTATTATGATGAATGGGTGGGGCAGTATGTCATGCAGCTGTGTCTAATTAAAATAGAATTTTGGAAATATTTGTTCAGGGGGGGAAAAAACCCTTACATGGTTAAGTAAAAGCCTCGTTAGTAGGATCTCTTCCATAGCACAACACTGTCAAGAGTTAAACCTATACCTTTGCAGGTAATTAATCTTCTTACCCTGCTTATTTTGCTAGTTGGCACTTGTTAAGTCCCTGCAAAGTCACACCCAGCAATGCTGTGTATTATCCTTCTTTCTATTCCTACATATGGTCAAAATCAACTTACCTTCCGGGATGCTGACATCAGCAAAATGTACTCTTGGCAAACTACAGTATCCTCCCAGTAACCCTTTGTTTGGTAAGTGTTTGTTACAATTTTATGCCTCTGGTAGCTTGAGTTTCTATTTGCTACTAATAACTCCAGCTACCAACACATGTATAATGAGGGAAACATTTACTATAGTAGTATAATTTATAACAATCCATCATGCATATGATTTGATACCCAAGGATCTATAACATGGGCAAAGGATCCCCTTTCAAAGGAAATATATATGTATGCTATACAGGGAAACCTATCTTGAGCTCAAGGAGTAGCAAAAAGTTTGTGTGTGTGTGTCAGTTTCACTACCACTTAATACCAGTATGTATTATGTAGTTTTATTCTGAGATGATGTTAAGCAAGACTGTCACCTTATTTCGTGTTGTACTCACTTATTTGTATTTTAACTCATTAAAGACAAAACTTTCAGGCAGACTACTATTAAAATATTAATCATTTATCAGAACTATAATGTCTGTAATTAGTGAATTAAACTTTCTGCCTATCTTTTCATAGCATCTGTTATCTCTTAGATATACGGTTTTAAAATCACTCTAAATACATTTATATTAACCAGACCATTTAATTGGATACAGAGCTAGTAAGCTGAAAATCCTGAAATCCATAAATTATATTTACCACAAAACGACTATATTATTTACCACAAAGACTTAAGCAGTAGCTGAGAAAAGTCACTTATGTTCTCATTCTATTATCAAAAGTATTCTCATACTTTCATTTTTTAAATGTAAATTGAAAATGACAGGTAAATTGTCAATTTCTTTTTTTGTCCTTTCCGAATGTTTTGCTTTTTATTTACATCCTAATTTTCAATTTATAGCTACCTCTGTTCCCCCATTATGTTAAATTTCCCTAACTTTCATATTGGTCAATACATTTTAGTCAGCAAAAATGTCTAAAAGGGAAAGGAATTCAAGATATGAAAAGGTTATAGAATGATTTTATTGTGACAACATAAATATTAACGAACAAAGACCACCTCTTATCTAGGAATAATTAGACAGTAATGAAGGCACCCATATGAAGGATACATTTTTTGAGAAGTCGCCTACCTTAAAGATATTGTTGGGGATATTATTTTAATAAGTATTTAATATTAAATAGACAGTTACAGTTCAAACTATTCTAGCACAGGGGAATTTGATACAATGGCAAACTCCTCCAAACTGCTTAATTTTTAAAAGTTATTGTCTACATTGCGCTATTGGATTATGGTAGGCAATCCAATCCAAATTAAATCCATAACACTTAAAATGCATAAACTACTTCTGTTTATGTTACAGGGTGTGGTTTTATCTTTCCACTTCTGACACATTCTCCAGGACATCTTTTTGGTACAGTGTCAGTTTAACACTCTCTACCATTTAAAGTTCAGTGTATGTGATAGAGTCCTGATTAGATCCTGGCGAAAGTGGGGGAGGAAATGCATTTTTAATACTTTTATATATAATAGAAGCTTTCTGGACTTTTTTCAAAAACAAACATAAAAAAATTATATACTTTATTACAAATGGTAAATTCAGAGTGCTCAAAAAACCCTCATTTACAAACATTACTGGACAGAACACAAACATAAAAATAATTTACAAAGTCATGAAGTAGTTTATTGACATTAATCAGCTTTCATAAAATAAAAAAAAGTACATACACAATTTACTTGAAGGCAGGCAGTATAGTTCAGTTTTTATCAGCCTCCCACAAACCTCCCTCCCAGTTGTGTTTTCTTTAAGAGTATTACAGAAAGCAACCTACAGTCTCTATTGCAGTTTAACCTTTAATACTGAATGATCATCGAATGTTAGGTCCATGCAGGTCTTGGTCAATATTAAACAAAGATCTGATGTATCATCTGAGCAGGAACAGCACTTCTCAGAGTGGTGCTGCTTTGCCAATAGCTCAATTGAATGCTCGCCAGTCTTTCCACACATGTGCTTTGTGGGGTGCAAGCAGGACTCAATGCCTCTCAGCCTTTACCATTAGCTTTATGTATCTGCCACTTGTTATGGGTTTGTTTTTTCTGTTGCTCTACCGCAACATCATAGTTCTTTTTTTCCAAGTCAGTCTCTTCAAAATGTTTGCAACTGTTGTGTTAGCATTAGCTGGCATCCACTGTTGACATGGTTCATGACCTTCTGCTTAAGCTGTGCAACCTGTTCTCTGAGCATGTTGGCAGTGGATGCCAGTTCTGAGTTCTGGGCTTTTAAAGTTTTCACTTTTTCTTCCAACCTGGCAATCCTTTCCAACTTCCTTTTCCGGCATTTGGAGGCTGCAATTCTGTTTCTCATGCGCTTCCTCTCAGCCTTGATCCTCTCCTGTGACTCCATATCAATGGGGGACAGTGGAGGAGTCTCCCCTGGCATTTCAGGTACAGTCTGGGGCTCCTCTTTCAAAGCTTGCAGCCTGGGATGCTGCACTGGCATCGGAGGATTAATATGATGCTGAGGTGGATAGCCCATGTTGTTTGCATTGTAGTTAGGTGCTGTGCTGAGTGCACTTGGGTTAAAGTTGCTGAGATTGGCATACACTGGAGGCTCGCTGTGCAAAGTGGTGTTGAAACCATTGTTGCCAGCCATAGAAGAAACAGGTGTCATACCACTGTTAACGGGCTGGGCAGCAGATGTAACACTGGGCATCGTATTCTGGTTGTGTAGCTCTGCCAGTGCCCTCACAAAGCCTTCAGCAAACCCTTCTTGCTCATCAGTAACATTTTTGGGACAGAGGAACTGTGTTGGGGTGGGAGTGGTGGTGATCAAGCCATTGCTGGACTGGATGATGAGCCTTTCCAGTTCAGGAGATGCCAGCTTGAGGAGACCAACATCTGGGGAGGTAAGAATATCAGCATTCTTGTTCCTCAGGTGGGGCTTGAGGTTGCTTGAAGGATCAGCCAGATTTAGAGTCATATTCTGCTTCAGGACTTTAGGATTATTATATCCATAACCACCACTTTCTGGCTGTACAAAGGTAGCATTTAGGGCATCATCATAGAATGTAGGTTCCATCTTTGCAGTCATAGAACACAGTCCACAAAACTGGCTTTAAAGCAATAACAATTAAGCAGCGCCCAACGCGTTTGTTTTTTAAGTCCCGTTCAAAGAAAGTTCACCTTCACTTTAAACTACTACCAGGGTAACTCTTTCAACAATGAAAAAGCCCTTTAAAACAATCAGTAAGGATGAACTAAAGTCTTACTTTTTTTTTTGGCCACCGTACAAGTGGCTTGAGTGTCTTTCCCCCGTTTCTTCAGCGCATCAGGGCTGAACTTTTTCAAACCACAAAAAGAGTCAGTCTGAGAATTGGGTCGCAGAAGTCCTGGGGTCGGGTTCTGGGATCTCGCTCCCGCCTGAGACTCGGGAACGGAGGAGAAATCCAGTCTCTTGCTTTACAGGTTCACTCCGGAGTAAGTGTCCGATGGGCAGCTTCGCCTCCTTCTCGCTCGCTGGGAGGGTCAGAAATCCGGTCACTTTTCTGTCCCCGTCTCCTGCTGCGGGGCTATCTGGGGAGCGCGCTGCAGCGCCCGGCCACTTGTCTGAGCGCTTCCCCGCCGCCTCCTCCTCCGGCTGGCAGCGCCGGACGCCGCGGCGCAGAAGTTGTCCCAAGTACTTTCCCCTCCGCTCTCTGTCCGCGGCAGGCGCCGTCTGGGCTCCCGGGTGCGGAGAAGTGCCCGGGTCTCCGCCGGGGTCCGAGCTGGCCTGGTCGCTGCAGCAATGCGAGACGCCTGGCCGCTCTCTGTGCCTTGCCCGCCTCTCGGGAGCTGCTGCCGGAGCGGGCCCGCCGCTGCTGCCTGGAGCCTGCTGCACACTCTGAGCCCTTTCCCGGCGTGCAGCCCAACACTTATCAGCGAGCAGTAACCCACCAAAAATAGCCCATGATGTCACCCCGCGGCCTTCCCATTGGCTGCGGCAGCCTCTCAGGGGGGTGGCGGGCCGCTGGCCCGGCCTGTTGCAAATGAGCCGGTCTCCATGGTCACCCCACCCCTAGAAGCTTCTCAGCATCTCGCAGGGCACTGTGGGATGAGGTAATGCTTGTTCTCAGCGCAGGGCATTGTGGGCTGACGTATTGTTTTTGAATATCTGGTTACCCGCTGAAGCGCTCTGGTGGGGTTGGAGGATCTGGGCTGGAAGGGGGAGCCTCCTTAATAGGCAGGCACCAAGTGGTGGACGGAAGGGGGGGCGGCAGGCCCACAGAGGGAGACGCTGCCTTGGACACTGGGTGGCTAATGGGGTTTTAGTCAGTCCTGCGGCTTGAGCCTTCACGGTTAAATCTGATAGCGGGGGCTTTGGTTAATCCGGGGCTGCTTGCTCGGACTCTCTTTAGGCCGCTTTCTGAGCTCCCCCCTTCTGGGATGGTACGGTCCTTAAGGTGGCACTATCGTCAGTGCGTGCAGCAGACGGAAGGCAGACGACAGCTACGGGGAAGGGCGGGGGAGGAACCTGAGCCGCACGTGATTCCTCCCCCGCCGGGCGGGCGGGCTACTGGGGGGAGCCAGGGAGCGCGGCGCTTGCGCACGTGCTGCGTGACCCCTGCGCGCTCAGGGGCTGGGCGCAGCGCTCCGTGGCCGGGAAGCTGCCGCTGTCCCGGCCGCTCTCGGGGAGGGGAAGCGACCCCCGGCTTGGGGGCTTAGCGGGAAGGCAGCAGCCGAAGCTCCCGCCAGCGCGTGGGTTTCCCCGCGGGCCCGGTTCGGGGCGATGCTCGCCGGTCTCACGCCTCTGACTTTCTCCCGCGTTCAAATCCTGGCCGCTCCCGCCTGGGACCTGCGGAGCCTGGCCGGGGCTGAATCCACGTGATTCCCTCTCCCTGTGCAAGCGAGAGACGTGCCTCGCTGGCAGGCGGGAGCCCCCGGTGCGTGCGGGGGACGTGCCAGTGCTTCTCCCCACCTTCCTGCCCCCGCTGTCCGCTGGGCCCTGCCCTCTGCAAGGTGCGCCCTTGTCTGGCCTCCCTGGTGCACTGGCTTTCCGAGAAACAGGAGAAAGCGTCGCGTTCACACTGAGCCTTCCCCGCCCCAAACATCTGCCGCTCTATGCAGGTGCTGACATTGCCATTAAAACATTATATCCGCTCTGCCAATCTCACCAGTTTGTGGGGAGGGTTCATTTGTTAATATGTATAAAGCTCTTTGGAAATAAAAGTGCGAAGTATTATAGAGGCGTCACTTCATCACTGGCATGCCACCACCTCCGAGGTGGAACGGAACAGCTGCTTAACAACACACAGCGCCCTAGTCTAGGACAGGAAGTGAAGAAGACTAGTATATCATATTGTGCGTAACAGATCCATATTGCTTAGGTGCCTAACAAGTAAAACAGTTATAAAAGTTACCTAGCCAAATTATCTGTTGGTGTAAATTGCGATAGCTCTATGGAACTTTGCTAATTTACTCCACAAGAGAATTTGGACTACCAGGTTGAATCACCTCTTATTATATGTAAAACTACAAGTTATTAATGGATTTGAACAAGTACTAAGTGAAGCATTCCAGTAATATTTTTTGTTCTAGACATAAAAACTCCTTCCATTTCCAAATGGGATTTAAAAGAAAAAATACAAATCCGAAGCAGATGTAAACGTCATATCCCACTATTTTTCTAAATGATCTCCCAGTTTCTTTTTTCAGTTTGAAAATTCTTTTTTCTAGCACCCTCCACCTGAATTTGAGCAGTATATTAACTTGCAAAAGAGCCAGCACTGCTGTTTTTGGAAAGTAACTGGTATACAAATAACATGTGCAGTCTTTGTAGCATCTGGAGTAATAGTTTATAGTGTGAAATTCTAAATCACTCCTGAACATATTGCCTACTATGTGAAGATTCTCTACGTATTGCCACAGTACATGTAACCAAGATATGCCTATGTTCCAGAAAATTTAAATTCTGTGTAGCACATAACTAGAACTCCAACTATTAATTAGTTCAAAAAATCAGTAATATCATTGCATATAAATTAGTCTCTAAATCCATGATCAGCCTTTTCAATGCTAGATACATTCATTTTAAACTTATTTTTTAGCCTTTCCCTGCCTCATCAAAACTATACACAAGATGTTACAAATAAAATTGTATTCTATAAAGATACATTTCAGTTTCTCATTTATCTGTTCAACAATGGGAAATTTTAATTATACTTATTTTAATTTTACTTACTACCATCTCTTGTGCCATCTTTATATTCTATAGTGTCAATGTGCAATTATCAAGTTCTTTAAAGGTTTGTCTACTGTGGGAAATTATTCTGGAAAAAGGGAGAGTGAATTTAAAGTGCTGTAGCTGTTCTGAAGTCATACCCCTTGTGGACACTCTTATTCCAGAATAAGAACGCCTTTTCTGGGTTAGCTTAATCCATTATTAAACTAAACCAGAGAGAGGACCAGATCCGTAAAGATTTTTAGTTGCCTAATTCCCATTGAAATTAATGGGAGTTAGGCATCTAAATACTTCTAAGCATTTGGACTAAAGGCACTTCTACTCTGGAATAAGAGTGTCTACATGGGGAGCTATTGCACAATAGCTATTCCAGTCAATTTCCTCATGTAGATAAGCTCTAAATCTTAATACAGTAGTGTTAAATACAATTGCAACAATCTTTAATTTGTCCAGGAGCACTATTTTTATCTACCTAACTCTATCTTTGCTGCTAACATTACAAAGCCAAGTTAAGATGTAATGCAAGAATATGGTTAGTGTACTGTTCAGGACTCTATTTAGACAACTTTATCTGTATGAACTGAAAAACAGGTTACTGCTCCATTGGGGTCTGATCCAACTGCCCTGTTATCAATATGAGTTTTCCATTGACTTCAGTGAGTGTTAGTATGGGTTGCTAGTATACTGTTGTGTAGGGGTTTTTTCTTATTGTTTTTTCATCCACTTCACAGCCAGGCAGGCTTTGACTTCCTTCCGTTCACAAAGGTGGAGTTTCAGAACCAGACAGGGTCAAAGTAGGTCATTCCAGTTTTGCTGGGAACAAGTTGCTACCATGGCCTATTGCGAGGGCGGACACCCATCAAACACTAATTATGTTAACTCATTTAGAGGCTATTTGGTCAGTTGAGCAACACACAGTTAAGCCGGTCATAAAATGCTGAGTATACTTGGACAGCTTTGAAACCAAAGAAAAATTGACATTATTTGTTTCGTTTTCCGTTTGTTTCTTCCTGCTTGTTGCCTGTATATCATTCATCTGAAATGAGTGGTGGCTATCTGCTCAGTGGAAGATTGGGAATCTTGGCTCAAGACCCAGCTGACCAACTGAGATTCATTCAGTTCCATGGAACTCCCAGTCTGTCTGTGCTGCAGCTCCCTGCCCTGGTAGACAGATACATACTAGCTCTGCTCAAGCTAGTGTACTAAAAATAGCAGTGTGAATGGTGTGGCACAGATTAGCCACCCAAATAAAAGTCCACCCATTCTTGTGGGTCCATACTTGAGTGGCTAGCCCAACCCTCTGCCTGCGCCACAACAGTCACACTTATTTTTAGGGCACTAGATTTAGCAGAGCTTGCACATGGCTGTTTACCTGGGCTGGGAGGCAATCTCCCTGTTGCAGGGTAGACATACCCTCAGAAAATCTGAATCAGAATTAGGCCCCATTGGTGCAGAGATTTTGAGTCTTCATGGCCAGCAGCCACAGAGCTGGGAATTTTGGGTGAATAGATCCCTGAATCAGTTTATTACTTTAGGCCTCCTCCCCCCTTCCTGATCTCCTAAAGTAAATAGTGCAGTGAGATGAAAAAACACTTACTGAGCCATTTGTAGATGAAATCCATTTATATGCCTGAGTAAACTTACTTGTGGGTAGGAACTGGAAATTAACTATATTTTCCCATTGATGTGACAGGCAGATGCTTTGACCAATGGTAATACAGATTTTGATTTATAGAGATTTCTAATCAATCAATACAGGGCTGCATGAAGCAATCAGATGATCTGAATAATTAAATGGCCTTTTCAGGGACAAATTAACATTTTTCAGACACACAATATACATTTTTCAGACACAGAATGGGTCAGTGATTGTGTTTTCACTTTTACAGTGAGCCCCTTTTTTTTTTGGCAACACTCGCAGAAGGAGTCAGGCACTTTGAAAACTTAAATATAAAGCACAGGTTTAAACATTTAGAATTCAGTTGAAATACTGTGTGATTTCATCAATAATTGCCAGCCACCTCCTGAGCTTTTGGGTTTATTTTGTTGACCATTTGAAAAGGCAGAAATTGTAGTCTGAACTCCAGTTGGAAGGGAAACAATACTTGTGGAAATAAAATACCTCCTTATAACGTGTCTAAAATAAGAAACCTACATTCAAAGTGTCTCTTATTTTTCACCCACCTCTTTCCACATTACTATAGGAGCTTTGAGAATACTTTTTTTTCTTCTTGCCTCATCTCTTTAACCTTGAGGCTTTGTTCACCATTACCATCCTTCAGGAAGAGTAAGACTGGGAAACACTGGAGCTTCTCAAGCCGTACCTCAGAGTGAGAGACTGGGGCTGATGGCTGAAGTCAGGTTTCCTATAAAGCAGGACAGAATGCTATTCCTGGTCTTTGCATTTGAAATGGGCCTATAAAACTGTGGTTTATCAGAATTACAAACACTTGTAGATTAGAGAGACAAGAGTGAGGTAATATCTTTTATTGGACCAACTTCTGTTGGCGAGAGAGACAATCTCTCTTGGTGAGACAGAAGAAGAGCTCAGTGTAAGCTCAAAAGCTTGTCTCTCTCACCAACAATTGGTTCAATAAAATATATTACTTCACCCACCTTGTCTCTCTAATATCCTGGGACCAACACATTTACAACACTGCAAACACTTGTAAATGGTTATCATGTTTTT